ATATATATATATATATATATATATATATATAACAGCTCCCGTTTTGCTACCTTCATGGTTCCTGGGCTCGTAAGACAGAGAACAAGTGGCGAGACAGAGTAAGAAAAAGGGGAGGAAGAAGAGGTAAAAAGGATTCATTGTCATCTTCAACATCACGGCCATGGCAGCTTAGCTTAGAGGATGAACAAAAAAAAAACTGAATAAGCGCAAGAACATAACTTTTTTTGGTTCTGCTTTGGTTTTGATGTGCCCACAAAAAAAAAAAGCAAAAGCAAAAAAAAAAAAAAAAAAAAAAAAGCTTTTTTTTTTTTTTTTTTTTTTTTTTGCTAACAGTCGCTCGCACGCACAGACTGTGATAAATAAATATAACATCAAACGTTAAGAAAGCATAGAGAAGAAGCCAAAATGAGAGCAAAGGAACAATTTTTTTCCCGTGGAATTTTGTAGAGAGAGAAAGTGGGACTGTCTAAGTCTTCTGTGGAGAGAGAAAGCTTGATGTGTTTGTGGTGTGGGGGGAGAATCAGGGGAAGGTGGTGATACGAACTGTCAGAAACCCGATGGTGCTCTGTATATTTATTTTTTTTTGTTTTTTAACCTATTGTTTTTGCTTAAATAGCTGTTATAATATATCTTTCTAATTTTTTTCTAGTAAAAAATTTCCAAAATTCTAATTGAAAATCTAATCTTGAGTAACTGAAGTAATACTAAATGGAAAATGAGATTCACAAACATAAATCAAAATTTAATCTTTTGAAAAAAAATTATAAATTTAATCCTTTGTAAAAAAACAGTTATGTATTTTAATCATGTAAAACACATAAATTTTAAGAAATATTTTATAATGCTATTTTCCAAATTTTGGCCTTTTTTGGTACTTTTGCTAAATGTTGATTTTGTTTCTTACCCTGGTAAAAACAATGAGGAAGTGATGTGTGTACTAGCTACTGTACTATGCTAACATGCACCTCTCTTTTTTGTCATTTTTAATTTTTTAAATTGTTTTTCTTTTTGAAGAAAAATTGTCTGAAATATAGATGTATATTTTCTCCAATCCATTCCTAATTTTTTTTTTTGATGAAATGTGATTAATCCATTCCTAATTTCAATTTTGGATTGATATTCATATGTAATTATATAAAATATATATATGTATATACATATGTAATGTATGTGTACATTTTGGAGAAAGGCAAAATATGGATGTGATTATGAATAGAAATAGCTAAGACCCTAAAATAGGGAAATGAATACGACAAAGGGAAAAGAGACACCCTGATGTGTTGATGTTATATATATTTATTTTATTTTCCTCCGCGTGGTTATGATAGGGATTTTAACAATTTTATACAAACCCTAATGGCATAGAATTATATATCACAATATATAATCATATCGAAATTTAATCTAATTTAAAAAATAATTAGATATAAAGTTTAAAAAATCAAATTAATTGAATATATGGACAGAAAAATTAAATTTTCAACTGAATCGTCCATATTCAATAAAAAATATTAGAATAAATATATAATTTGATAATTACTTGAAGAAAATGTACCGAATTATGAAGAGGATTAAATGTTGGGAAAAAAATTCAAAAATAAAATCGGAAAGTACGCAACAACGTGGCCCGATGCCATTTTGGGCTTATCATGATGAGGTAAGGCACGTATATACTTTGTAACCGAAGCACATATTTTCCCCCATCATGCATGCATTATCGATGGTCCATTTGCATGCATGTTTTCCCCGGAATGTAATAAATTATAAAGTACACGAATAAATATGTAAAACGTACATGTATTTTCACTTCTTTAATTGTCAGTGGAATGTACATAGGAAACCATCAAAAAATTTCAAACTACACAAAAAGATTATATGATTTTGTTTGAAAAAATATATAATTTTAAACGGATTGTAGACCGTATGATATATTTTTAGGTGATGGGCATTTTTGGTTTGGGTGATCTTGTTTGTTTTTTTTTTACCTTTTTTAAAATTATATTTATTCGATTTCAATATTTTTTTATTCAAATTAAAATTTATCCGGATTTATTTTGTATTCATTTTTATTAAAAATCATGTTATTTTTCTAATTCGTTCTTTGTTATTTTTATGAAATTGTTCAAAAAAAATGATTTTGAATATAATTAGAGTTACTCAATTTAAATGGTTTTTATAAATTTAAATTGAAATATTTATTAATACTTGTTATTGAGACTTTATATCACCCATTTTTTTTTGCCAACAAAAATCAAGCAATCAAGGGGAGAAATGGGGGATGAGTTGCTTGTGGGGCTTATAGAATCTTTTTATCTTGATAATTAGTGCAACGCATATTTTTAGAGAATCCATATTCCTTTGGGCCCATATTATTCCGGTCTAATTGCACCAATCATATTTGCAGAATATATCATATGATATGATGGCATTTCTTCATGAATGTAAGGCCATTTTCAATTTATTCTTCAAATCAAACAGCGATTATAGTTTAATCATTGTTATAATTTCTACTAATTATGGACTTGTCAAACATTATTATTTTTCCCACTGAATATTTAATTAGTAAATAAATTATCCATTGATTTTGACATGTTGACGTGGCGCGATAACTCACAAATCTTACCAATTAGAAAGAAAGCGACAAACTTGACAAAATACAAGTGGGTTAGGCACCCACCCGCCAACAAACATTTCATAAATTGAGGAATATAATTTTTTTTAATTTAATTTTTTAATTTATATTTTTGTAGTAAATTATTTGAAATAATTTTATTTTGAATATTATATATTTTTCTATTTTTTCATAAAAATTAATAGATTAAATCAAAAAGTTGAAGAACAATCTTTTGTTATAATGGGAGAAAGCCACTGTATGCATAGCTCGAACACAATACAAAATATGATTTACTATTCAAACCAAATTTAGCAATTTACTTCTATATTTATAAAAAAAATATTTTTTATATTTATTTTGTGATTTATATTTTTTTCATGTTGAATTAACTATGATAATTTTACGCTGAATATATATATTTTTACCAATGTTAAGCTAACCTCATCTCCTTCTATCATACTATTTTATAGTATCTATTTTCCTGTCAATACTAAAGTTGTCGAAATAATAATTATTGTTTATTCTGCTAAAATAATTAATTAACCTCACATAGTAACTATCTGTTCAAAAGACTAAATGATGTTTTTTTACAAAAAAAAAAATTAAACGTAATTTTCACATTTTGAAAAAAAGGGAATATAATTTACAAAATCTGGTTTTTATATAATTTAAAATTTAAAGCTTTTTTTACACAATACAAATGACCCGTGAAAACCCATCATCCGTTCCATAGGAATTCGTGTAGAGCACTTATCCCATAATGCTAAATTTGCGTTTAGGGCTTTGGAATTACCAAAAAGTATCATTAAAATAGTAAAAAAAAGTGAAAGTAAAAAAAAAAAAAAGTAGAGAAGTAAAAAAAAGAAAAGAAATAAACACAGAATCTTCTTTGAAGTGCGTTTATTCTCGTGTGGTTCCTTCTTCCACTGCTCATGCGGAAGACGTGATTCTTCCACGTTCTTCCTGTGTTGTTATTATACGTAAGAAGAAAAAAGACGGAAATGGTAACGGATGCTCCTTGCTTGGTAACAGACTTTACAATATCTCCGTGCTGGATTACTCACGCCCCTCTTTCCAAACAAGTCCCCAAACCCACAATGTGACGTCCAAAAACATTTTTTGGGCCTTTCCATTATGCAATTTAAATTTTTATAAGCCCCGGGGCCCATGGACATTCCTAACCTAATTTTTATTGGGAAAAAAATGTTACAAACTATGACAAAAATACATAGATTTTTTTCTCCTCATAATTGAAATTTCCATACATTGTATTTTAAGTTTATTAAAATATATCTGATTTTCTCCCCAATTTATAGAATTAGATCACCCGATATTTAATGTTTCTGTTATCAGAATATAAATATTTTGAATTTCTTTTATTAGTATTATTATTCTGACTCGTTTAAACAGTTTTTAATAATTTTATAATATTTTTACAAGATTTTCTTTTCTAAACTATGTTTCTGGTTCGCTGCATATGAACAAAATATTAGTTACAGGAAATTTAGAAATAATTTCAGGAAATAAGAAAACGACATGGAAATATTAAAAAAATAAAAACAATCTAAACATGGGAAGAATTATTCATCCGAATTTTTTCGTTTTGTTGAGAGTATCATATTATGAATTATAAAAAAAATATTATCGAATGTTGTGAGGTATAGAGGTAATAATATCAATATCTAAAATTCTTTTAAAAAAAACCTATGTGTATATATATATATATAATCAACAGCTTGCAGTGACTATTATTACGTTATTTTTAGGAATTTCATATTTTGTCATAAACTAAGACTTACAACATGAAATGAGTACTAATATAATCAACCCCACACCTAGTTCAATCGGTAAAGGTAACATAAAACGTTTGTTTCACCTTAAATTCAAATTCTAAATTTAGAAAAATAGTGTATAATCTAATTCATATGGTTGATTTTGGTCATAATCGGTCCGACCATTATGTTGTAAATGGCCTCAGTAGTACATGCTGTTGCGTTTTCTGCACTTGGGCCCACGATGCTTTTCTGAACTAAGGTTTGAGCCCAAAATTTGTGTTGTCTTCTTTTTTTTTTTTCATATTTTTTCTTCAAGATAATGTAAAGTATGAAATTATAAACTCTAATTCGAGTTTGGATTTAATGGGAGAGATTACTTTTAAATTGATTAGGTTCGGGTTTATGTGATTTTACAGTTATATCTAGATATTCGAATATTTACGAAATTAATCAACATATTTTTCATTGTTTTTTATCGATATCTTGAATATGTATTTGTCTTTCAATTTCAAAGTGAAAACATGTTTTTATATTGGCGTAATTATATCCATGCATGTTAACTAAAAATAAATATTTTGATGAGAATAAAGATTTGGATTAGGATATCATAAATTCCGCATATATCTATTTTTTTTAGTATTCAGAATTTAATATTTGAATTCTATTATACATCCAACTTGAAAGGATTTAATTTGGATTAAAATAACTCAAAATCTATCCAGGATAGCAATTTGTAACAACCTAATTTTCAAAAAAAAAAACTATAGACCGGACGTACCAGAGTCCGGACCGGACGGTCCAGGCTGTCGGCAACGGTAAAGTCGCGGTTCTTGTCCGGATCCGATCTGAAAGTGACCGACACCCATCATTTCCGACCAGAAAACCCGATTTCTCGGCCCTA